TATACCGACTTTCAAAAATAAATTCACTGGAATAAAACTTGTGACAACTAGCCCCGGGCTCCCCTATATTGCTTGTCAAGCAGTCCAGTTCTCAGAAGGACAAGACCCTGAAATGCAAGATGCAACGTTGTGCATGATTTTATCAAGGGAACTCTAAAAGCTCATATTTATTTAAATAGTAAATAGAATGTATTTTATTTATTCATACATACATGTGATTTTGTTATTGTCTTTATACAACATTTGTCTATTTAAACTATATTTGCACAGTAGTCAGTTAGACAAATGGTTAAGGTAACAGTGAATGCATAATAAGACATTTCATTCATTCATTCTCAATGCAATGTGTTTCTATACAACCCATAGACTGTAAAAAAAGATGGACGATGCGTCTCCTATTCCTTCCACTTTAGAAAAGTGAAGCCAAATCATCTCAGTATGGCCGCTGCCATCTTGAGTAAATGCCGTCATTTGGTGCCAGAGTCTGCGCAGTAGAGACAAAGAGTTGGTAGATATTCGTTTGGAGCCAGAGTTGTGCTCTGATTCGCCAGCTATCCAGTGCGTTGTGATTGGCCGAATACCTCAAGCGTGTGACGGAAATGTTACGCCCCTTACCATATTGTGATGCCATCGCCGTGTCCCGGCCAGAGCGAAGAGACAAAAACATTAAAACCCATTATAAACGACGCATTTGTTGCATCCAGTGGAGACATAATTACGGATTATAATGACTTAAACTGTCTTTTTACGCGTTGCGTTGCATCGCACCGCGTAAACATAAAACCATGTCTGCATTTGTGATCGGAGAAACGACAAACAACAAGTGCTACTCTACACTGCTCAAAAGTCGCGTTTGAATCATCAGTGGCAAATCCTTTAAATATGAAAAACATACTTACTGACTGTGAGTCAGAACAGCCGGCATTGTAGTATAGAGTGAGTGGCGAAGGCGTCGGATTCAACGAAGGAGCGGCCGGCGGGCTTGCGGCAACCACATGTGACGACCCCGGGCTGGACTCCGCTTCGTCCACGGTGAAAGCCGATCCGGCGATCCACAGCGTGAAATTGATGTATTTCCTGAGCGACCAGCACGGATTAGCTCTAGGCATGACAAAGCGGATATCGTCCTCTTTGCGTGAACATTTGGGCGGTGTTATGCAAATCTTCCCACATAGTGATGTAGACATGTGGGGGCGTGTTAGAACGAGCCATTTTAGGTAGGCATAACTCTTAACTTTTATAAAGAATGTCTCTTTGGATTTGAGACTTTAGTCTTTGTAGCTTTACAGATCTTCTTTATGCACCAAGAGCTTGTAATAGAGGTCTGTGCGGGACTGTTTTTTTAGTCCTGCTCCCACAAGGTTCTATTCCGCACCCACCAGCTCCCGCTATATATTCACTCTTTGTTCACCTGCTTTCCGTTTAGAATAATTTTCTTCCCGACCCGACCGTTCCCGCTAAATTTAGATCTCGTTTCCAGAATCTCATATTTAAATTTCCGCTACTGAAAGAAAGAAAGATAGTCTGACAAATAAAAGTGTAGTCTGCACAAAATTGTATGTTATTTTATTCGTCTTGTCAAGAGTCTTGAATTTATTGACTTTGACTTGAATTTACATGAATTATCTTAAGACACAAAATTTGTTTAATGTTTTATGCAACACAGTAGGAAAACAAGTGTCAGAGAAAATAAAAATGTTGTACAAAAATTGTATTTCTTATTTTTATTCGTCTTGTCAAGATACAATTCGTTTAACATTGACAACACAACAGGGAAAAAGTGTCGCAGAGAGAAAAAAATTAATAAAAATGTAGGTTGTACAAAAATAGCATATTAGCTATTTTTATTCATCTTGTCAAAATACTAAATTCGTTTGACATTTTTCTGTTAACACAGTAACTTCTGTTAACTTACTCGCCGCCTGCGGAACGCAAGAGTGACAGCACGCTAGCGCCATCTGTTGGTCAAAGCCATGCAGGAACACCGCTAACATTGCATGTGATGCATGAAAGGGACAGCTAATAAAACTAATAAATCATCGAAATACACATCTATAAATTAAGTTTATATGTGTAATGGCTTTCATTTCTTCATAAAATGCCTGGATTTCTTAACTGAAATATTGGTCTGGAATGTTTGAAGCCATAACTATCTGGCAGAGTAACTAGTACACAAAAGACTACATACAGATAATTGATCTGAAATCGTTATTTAATGACAGACTATAGCATGATACACTTTAGATTACAGAACAAAGCAATGTTAGCGGTGTTCCTGCATGGCTTTGACCAACAGATGGCGC